TGATGTAAGTAGAATGATCCCTCTCCCCCAACCAAACCCTAAATGGCTGAGTCAAGTAATGTATAACCCCTCCCCCCCAACCAAACCCTAAATGGCTGCGTCAAGTAATGATCTAAGTTAAATGATCCCTCCCCCCAACCAAACCCTAAATGGCTGAGTCAAGTAATGATGTAAGTAGAATGATCCCTCCCCCCCAACCAAACCCTAAATGGCTGAGTCAAGTGATGATCTAAGTTCAATGATCCCTCCCCCCAACCAAACCCTAAATGGCTGAGTCAAGTAATGATGTAAGTAGAATGATCCCTCCCCCCAACCAAACCCTAAATGGCTGAGCCAAGTAATGATCTAAGTTGAATGATCCCAACCCCCCAACCAAACCCTAAATGGCTGAGTCAAGTAATGATGTAAGTTCAATGGTCCTTCCCCCCCAACCAAACCCTAAATGGCTGAGTCAAGTAATGATGTAAGTAGAATGATCCCTCCCCCCCAACCAAACCCTAAATGGCTGAGTCAAGTAATGATGTAAGTACAATGAAATGGACTTCCCCCTAACCAAACCCTAAATGGCGGAGTCAAGTAATGATGTAAGTAGAATGATCCCTCCCCCCCAACCAAACCCTAAATGGCTGAGTCAAGTAATGATCTAAGTTGAATGATCCCTCCCCCCCAACCAAACCCTAAATGGCTGAGTCAAGTAATGATGTAAGTACGATGATCCCTCCCCCCAACCAAACCCTAAATGGCTGAGTCAAGTAATGATGTAAGTAGAATGATCCCTCCCCCCCAACCAAACCCTAAATGGCTGAGTCAAGTAATGATCTAAGTTGAATGATCCCTCCCCCCCAACCAAACCCTAAATGGCTGAGTCAAGTAATGATGTAAGTAGAATGATCCCTCCCCCCCAACCAAACAATTGCATGGTGGAGAGTTTTGAAAGGAGACAATTGCATGGTGGAACGCAGGGGGGGTGAGAGTTTTTAAAGGAATAGGGTCGCAAGTGACCGTTTTTTAGGGTCGCAAGTGACCGGGGATTTTAGGGTCACAAGTGACCGTTTTTTAGGGTCGCAAGTGACCATGGACCCCCTAACGTCCCTTCTGAAACCCTAGTTAAAAAACACAAATTTCCAGCTCTTGGCAGCTCTTGACAACTGTGTCCACATGGCCTTCCTGCTACCCTGCTCATGCTGTAAGCTGCTTGGCTGCTACTTCGGTTGTTGCTGCTCCGCTGCTTTTGGTGTGCTGGCTTCGGCAGCTGCTGATGCTGCTGACCAGCCTCCTGGACAGGAACACACACGAATGGTGCCCTGCAATGGTAATCCACGGGGCCTAACATCCCTTCTGAAACCCTCTGCAACTGCTTGCCACATCTTTTAGCCAACAAATTGCCTTAAAAAAAGCACCTCCCGGACAGGAAAACACCATGGCACTGAGGGACGGAATGGTGCCCTGCAATGATAATCCACGAGGCCTAACGTCCCTTCTGAAACCCTAGTTAAAAAACATAAATTTCCAGCTCTTGACAACTGTGTCCACATGGCCTTCCTGCTGCCCTGCTCCTGCTGTAAGCTGCTTGGCTGCTACTTCGGTTGTTGCTGCTGCGCTGCCTGCTGCTGCTGCTGCTACTGCTGCTGCTGCTGCTGCTCCTGCTACAAGCCCCTCCTCCTGCTGGTGTGCTTTTAGCTAACATATTGCCTTAAAAAAACGAACCTCCCGGACAGGAAAACACCATGGCACTGAGGGACGGAATGATGCCCTGCAATGATAATCCACGGGGCCTAACGTCCCTTCCGAAACCCTAGTTAAAAAACACAAATTTCCAGCTCTTGGAAGCTGCTCGGCTGCTACTTTGGTTGTTGCTGCTGCGCTGCTTCTGCTGCGGCTGCTGCAACTGCTTGCGACATCTTTTAGCTAACAAATTGCCTTAAAAAAACGCACCTCCCGGACAGGAAAGCACCAGCCGCTTTTGGTGTGCCGGCTTGGGCTGCTGCTGATGCTGCTGCTGACCAGCCTCCTGGACGGGAAAACACCATGGAACTGAAGGACGAATGGTGCCTTGCAATGGTAATCCACGGGCCTTAACGTCCATTCTGAAACCTTAGTTAAAAAACATTAAAGAACACAAGGTCCAACTCTTGACAGCTCTTGGCAGCAGCGTTTTGCACCTGTTTGCCACCTCTGCAGCCCGCAGCTGTTTACCACATCTTTTAGCCAACAAATTGCCTTCAAACAATGCACCTCCCGGACAGGAAAACACCATGGCACTGAGGGACGGAATGGTGCCCTGCAATGATAATCCACGAGGCCTAACGTCCCTTCTGATTAATGTAGTTAAAAACACAAATTTCCAGCTCTTGGCAGCTCTTGGCAACTTGTCCACATGGCCTTCCTGCTGCCCTGCTCCTGCTGCTGCGTGCTGTAAGCTGCTCGGCTGCTACTTTGGTTGTTGCTGCTGCGCTGCTTCTGCTGCGGCTGCTGCAACTGCTTGCCACATCTTTTAGCCAACAAATTGCCTTAAAAAAACGCACCTCCCGGACAGGAAAACACCATGGCACTGAGGGACGGAATGGTGCCCTGCAATGATAATCCACAGGGCTAACGTTCCTTCTGAAACCCTAGTTAAAAAATTTCCAGCTCTTGGCAGCTCTTGACAACTGTGTCCACGTGGCCTTCCTGCTGCCCTGCTCCTGCTGTAAGCTGCTCGGCTGCTACTTCGGTTGTTGCTGCTGCGCTGCCTCTTGCTGCTGCGCTGCTTCCTGCTGCTGCTGCTGCTGCTGCTCCTGCTACAAGCCCCTCCTGCTGGTGTGCTTTTAGCTAACATATTGCCTTACAAAAATGCACCTCCCGGACAGGAAAACACCATGGCACTGAGGGAGGGAATGGTGCCCTGCAATGATAATCCACGAGGCCTAACGTCCCTTCTGAAACCCTAGTTAAAGAACACACATTTCCAGCTCTTGGCAGCTCTTGGCAGCTCTTGGCAACTTGTCCGCATAGCCTTCCTGCTGCCCTG